GGGGGTAAAAAGTCCCCCAAAGAGGTGTAAGATTATATTTGAACAGCCCCTTACTAGAATGGTATATCATGTGTTTTCTGATGGAACAAAATTTTTCACCAGGTTCGACTCTTTTTGCCTTTTCACCCCATTGCTCAAAAATAGCTTTGTCGACAACTGGGACCTATCTCCAGGCACACACACACACATACTATTATTATGTTGGCGTCGGTGGCCCAGTGGTTAGGCTCCCGGACTCGTAACCGTAATGTCGTGGGTTCGAATCCTGTCAGGGGCCCGACGTTGTGTCCTTGGGAAAGGCACTTTACACGAATGTTCCTCACTTCACCCAGGTGGGAATGGGTACTCGGCTATTGACAGCGAAAGATCTTGCCAGTTTGTTAGTGTTTGAGCGCTTAATCAGTTGCTTGCACAGTATGCTTCCCGGGAAGCTGAGAATGTTTCGGAGTGTTCTATTGTCTGCTAGGGTAATAATATAGTGTAAAGCGCATAGTGCTTGCTGTTGAGCGGGGGTATGCGCGATACAAATGCTATTCATTATTATATGTCTTTATGGACAGACGGGATCACAAACACATTCAAACGATCTTGACCCATTGGCGTGCGTGCAAAGCTTGTGATTTAAGGTGATAGCGCTCTGTCCCGATTACACACAATTAGATGTAAGTCTGAGATACCAGACAATGATTGAGGTCGTTGAGATGGATAGAAACTGAAATAATCAGCATGGAAAAAATTAACACTACCACATACCATACTAGAGAGCAAACTGAAATTGAGAAGTAACCAACTCTTAGTCCTGGTCTCCTGTACTTAACCCAAAGTCTCTAAAGCGGCCCATACACGATCTATTACATAATGCAATCCTGATTGCACAATATAACTGACAGTTTTTAGGCTGTCCACACACAGCACAATATATGTATAATTGACAATTTAATTGTGCAAACCAGGCTCATTTTGGTCTTGCAACCCGGTGAGACAGGATGGGGTATTTCGACCAAGCAATCGTTGTGGCAGTTGCTCTTAATAATAATAATAAATGACATTTATATAGCGCTCAACCCCGAATAAAGTACACAGGCTCTGAGCGCTTTACAATACAGTACAACAAACAACAGTAACATGAAACGTTGTGTTCTGACTAAAGAAAATTATTCCAAATATTCATTTTATTAATTTAAAAACAGAAACGACTTCAGCTGACATTTGAATGAATCGAAAGATTTGATTTCTCTCAACGTACTTGGTAAAGCATTCCAGATCTTGGGGCCTTGGTATTCAAACGCCCTTTCACCCATTGTTTTAAGTGTTATAGATGGTAAAATAAATTTCTTTTTGTCAGCTGATGACCTTAAACTGCGAGTTGGAATGTACAGTCTTAACAGATTTGATAATTATGATGGTGCATTATCCTTCTAACATTTGTGACATATGGTGGCCAACTTGCTAGAGAGAACAAATAACAAAGATGATTTCCCTTTAGGAAACGAGCATTGAAATACCACAAAGTTAGTTCACAAGCCTGGTCCGTCCCTGCACTAGATTTTTCTGAGCCGAGCACTTTTCTTTAATTCCTTGGGACAGTTTGTTCTGCAGGCATTGATTTTTTTTTTTTTTTGACATCTTCTCTTGTATAGTTTTGATACTTTTCCTGGAATTTTTCAATCAATACGCCGGGAGCAGCATCTTTCTTTTGTCTGTTACTGTAATCGTCACACTTCACTTTCCACAGAGGACTGGTAAATGTTTGTAACCCTCGATACACTTCTATTGAAATGCCCTGTCTCCTTCTTTATCAGACACCCAGACATGATGACGGTACGAAATCTGGAAGAAAAATTATTTTTGCACAATTTCAATGACGATCGCCACACATGGTCAGTTAAATTGTACAAACAAGAAGACTTGTACAATGAAATATCAAACTGATTTTGATTGATGCAATACAAATCGCAAGTTGTCAATATCACCCATACACAGTCAATTTTATTGTCAATTCCGAGTATTGACAATTAAATTGCTTGCACATTTGAATGAATTGATCGTGTCAAATGCTAATACGGGACTTAGTGTCTGGCTGTAGAGAGCCCCTCCTCAATTAACCAATCAAGACTAAGAATGCAGTTGAGCCTCAGCATTTTTGGGTTTATCTTGGCCCTGTAAAACAAATCAGTTCTTTGAAGGGTGAGGTTCTCAAATCAATGTCCTTCTTGGATAGAAATTGGGAAGAGCACTCTGAATAATTTGCATACACTTCTTTAGGATTTGAGCCGTGTCGGTCAAATATAGAGCCATAAAAGGAGCAGCTACTGATTGTTTTTCAAGACCTTTGTTCAATCTCATTACTCATTACCTTTTGGGGGACTGACCACCACTCCCGCCTAAGAGAAAACAAAAATAACGAAGTTAAATCAATATTAAAAGGATTACAGTAGAAAGTGTGTTTGACCGTTTTTGTTGTTGTTGTTGTTCTGATGACTGTTCTCCGCACTTTACAAACAAAATGCAAGTTTAGAGGTGGGATTCAACAAAATTATTGCTTATTAGATCTATGTCTGTCTCCACCAGAACTGATTGGGGAGAGATATAGATAGATAGATAGATAGATAGATAGATAGATAGATATATAGATAGATAGATAGATATGTAGATAGATAGATAGATAGATAGA